CTCCTTGTGGGATGTGGGAGCAGAATTTTGGGAATTGGCTCCAGAGGCTCCAACGTCCCGCTCCTCTGAGCTCGTGGGGTGCAGGGAGAGAAATTCTGGGAATCAGCTCCAAAGGTCCAACATCCCACTCCTCCGAGCGCCTTGTGGGGTGTAGGAGCAGAATTTTGGGAATGAGCTCCAACATCCTGCTCCTGTGAGTTCCTTGCGGGATGCAGGGAGCAGAATTTTGGGATCTAGCTCCAAAGGCTCACACATCCCGCTCCTGTGAGCTCCTGGTGGGGTGTGGTGAGCAGAATTTTGGGAATCGGTTCCAAGAGCTCCAACTTCCCGCTCCTCTGAGCTTCTCGTGGGGTGCAGGATCAGAATTTTGGGAATTGGCTCCAGAGGCTCCAACATCCCGCTCCTCCGAGCTTGTGGGGTGCAGGGAGAGAAATTTTGGGGTTCTGCTGCTCCAGCCGCCCTTGCCGCGCCCGTTTCCCCCATTTTGGGGTGACATCCATGGGATGGGCTCTTTCCTGGATGATCCCCGGGATCCTCCCATCCCTTCCCAGAGGCTCTCTGCCTCCTCTCAGCTCCGGCTTTCCCGATTTTTACCAAAATTCCCCGGGAATTTTCGGGCGAGGAGCGGGGGGAGCGCCGCGGTTCCAGAACATCCTTTGCGAGCGTGGCGAGCCATAAAAGGCTCAGGGATGGATCGGGAACGCCGGGAATTCGCACGCACAGCCCCGAGGAGGAGCCCAGCTGGGGAAACCCTCCCCGCCCTCAGTGTCCTACATCTTCCAGAGGGGGAACAGCGGCGCCGCTGGATTTACTGGGATTTTTTTAATTTTTTTTTATATTTTCCCCTCTTCCCACGCAGCAATTCCCAGTCCCAGCTGCTCCCGGCGCCGCTCGCAGCCCGGCGGGGAGTGGGAGGAAAGGGATGCTCGGAGGATTTGGGAAAATCCGGAGCATTTCCAGCCATGCTCCACCTGGCGCGGCGGCTCCGGAGCTGTGAGTATTCCCCAGAAATCCTGGGAAAAGAGAGAGAGGGAAGGAGGGAATTCCTCACTGGAGGTCATTTCTGGGGGATGCTTTGTGTCCCCGTGTCCTCCCAGGCTTTTCAGGAACAGCCACACACAAAGCTTGGAGTTTGTTTTCACCTTCGAAAAATTGGGTGGGGAAAGATGATTTTTTTTCCGCCTTACTTTTTGTGAAAAAGGATGGGGTTTTCCCATACTTTCCCCCCGCAAAATCCCGTATTTTCAGCTTTTCTCCTCCCAGCATCCCCAATCCCATTTTCCCAGCTTTTCTCCCAGACCAGGCCCGGCAGGGATGGGGTTGCCGTGACCTCTCCCAGCTGTGATCTGGCCCGAGCTCTTCCCGTTCCCTCTGCGGCCGGAATAAAGAGGAAAAGGAGCTCTGGAAACACAACCTGGGAGGCTGCAGGGCTTGGAAAAGCCTCTCTGTGTTTGCAGGAGAGCAGCTGGTGGGGCACAGAGAGCTTTTTTGGGGACGAGGGGAGGGATCCAGGATCCTGCTGGGAGCTGGGTGGGGAAGTGAGACCCTTTCCTCTTGCAGGTGGGTCCTTGCTCTTGAATGAAATCAAATCCCATGATTTAAATTAAATTAAGACTCTTGAGCACGACTGTGACATGAGCCAACCTCACCTTGTTCTGCTGATTTTTCCGCCCACTCAGGATTTAAAAAAAAATGTTGATTTGGGCTCTTTCAAAAAAAACGAAGCAGCTTTTGTCACTGTCCCGGAGCTGTGACAGCCCTGCCATTCCTGCTGGGGAATATTTCCATCCACAACGCCTCTCCCCCCGGTCGGGAAAGCGCAGCTGGCAGGAGGAGGCTGGAGCGGATCCCGGGATGGGGGAAGGGGGGAAGGGGGAGGCCCCAGCCCCTCCCGCATCCCAAAGGATGCTCAGAGCGCTGCTCTGCTCGGCACGATGAAATCTAATTCCAATGATTTTCGCTCTTTTTGCCGTTTTTTATTTCCAGGCAGGGGCGGGGAGCCGGTGAGGTTTGGTTGTTGTTGTTGTGATTTTCCTGGTGGTTGTTACTATGGCGAGGGAGCTGAGCCGGGGAGGTCAGGAATTCCCGGCTGACAATTCCAAGCGTGTTCCTTTCATTCCCAGCTGCCGGGGTTGGAGCAAAGGCACCAGAGCCCGGCTCTTCCCAGCCCCTTTTCCCTCGGGACACGGGGGAGAGGAAGGATCTTTTTCCCGGAGTTTTCCCGATGGATTTCTCTGCCCCACTGAGGAGGGGCTGGCTGGGTTTGACCCGCTCTGGTGGCAGGTGGAGTTTTGGGGCTGTGAGGATCATCCCGCCTCTGTCCCGTTCCCAAATGGGAGGAGGAGATTTGGGGTCCAACCCCTTGGAATTTCGACCCTGGAGCAGCAAAACTTCCAAATCCTGGAGAGAAGAGAGATGAGAAGGGAAAGGAGCTGCTCTGACATCTCTCCCTGTTCATCCCATGAATCCCTTGGAATCTCACCCGCCTGGCTCTGATAAATCCCAAATTATTGCGGATCCATAAATGCCACGAATCCTCCAAAACGAAGGATGGGTCTTCCTTGGAGGGAATATCCAGGGAGAGGTCTCTGACCCCCTCTCCGGGGCTGTCCCTGCCCATCCACGCTCCAAATCCACTTGGAAAAAACCCTGGAGGGTTTCTCCAACCAAGGAATTTCATCCTGCAGGGATAAGGAGCGGAGAGGGCTCGGCCCCATCTCCGCTGGTGGAAAAGCAATTTCCTTTCTTTGGATTTCCAATGTCAATTAGTGTGGGAGGATGAAGCGATAATTCGATAATTCCCTGGGCCTGGGAGGGGAATGTGGCCGCAGGACGCGCTGCCAGCTCCCAGCGCGGCGCTGCCGTCGCTTCCCGGTGAAATCCAGGTGATTTTTGGAGAGCCGGAGGGGAAGGCGTGGAATTCAGGAATTCAGCGTGTGAGCCTGACCTTGATTTCCTTGAAATAGCACGGGAGGGAAGAGGAGCAGGTTCTCTGTGCGCCAAGGCAGCTGAATTCAGGCAGAGCTTTGCATTCCAGCAGAATTCCCGGCTTTTTGCTCCGTTCTTCCCATGGAGGATCTACCTGAAGAAATCTTCATCCCTCTCAGCGTGCTGCGATGTCGGAAAGGAATTTTTAGGCCATTTTAGGCAATTATTCCTGGGCTTTGGATGGAGAAATTGCCTGGCCCAGCCGGGTTCTGCTGCTGGCAGGCGCTGGAGTGGCTCTGCTTGGGTCTCATCCCAGCACTTTGGATTTGAAGGAACAGAGGTCAGGAATGCCTGGACGCGAATCCATCAAGCAGCTGGAAAAAGGAGCCGGCTCTGCTTTGCTAATTAACCAGCTCAAGCTGAATTTGTCCATGAAAATTCACCTGGAAAGAAAAACCCATCCCCCGCGGGAGCAGAACCCCGGCGCTGCCGGGACAAATCCCGGGGATGCTGCTCGGGAGGGCAGAGCAGCCGCGGGCTCTGCGCTGGGCTGCTGCTTTTTCCTTGGATTCTGGGAGGGTGGGAAGCGTGGCTTGATGTGCCGCTGCTGCTTTTTCATCGTGGCTTTGTGTCCCTTTGTCCCCGCGGAGCCGGGAATTGCACCGGGAATTGCACCGGGAATTGTGGATGGCCCCACGCCAGGCCCTGCGGCTGGAGGGTTTCTCATTTGTTTATTTTTATTTTTATTTTTATTTTTATTTTTATTTTTATTTTTATTTTTATTTTTATTTTATTTTTTTCTATTTCTATTTCTATTTCTATTTCTATTTCTATTTCTATTTCTATTTCTATTTCTATTTCTTCTCATTTCCTTTATTAATTCCTCATGTAATAAATGATGTCGAGCGCACTTCTGAACGTTCATTTGGGAAGATAAATAATAATAAAAACAAACAGCCCTGCTCGGACTAATCGGATTTTATGGAGTTGGATGGGAAGGGATTTTCCTGCCAGCGTTGCTTTTCTCCCTCTCCCTTCACCCTCTCTCCGTCCTCCCACGCTAATTAAGCTCATTTTCATCGCTCTTAATGACCGTGAGAGGAGACGGAGACCTCTCCCCCAGGGATTTCAGAGCTGGGGTCCGCATCCCTCAGGGGGAGGATGTGAGGAAGGTCGGGAGGAGGAATTGAGGATGTGAGGAGGGTCCGGAGGAGGAATTGAGGATGGGAGGAAGGTCCGGAGGAGGAATTGAGGATGTGAGGAGGAGAAGTTCCCCAGCCGGCAGAAAATGGGTGTGGAAGGAGCAGAGGCCCGGTTTGAATGTCACCTGGGGAGCAGCAGGACAAACTGACTCCAACCTTCTCGCCTGGTTGGGGTTGGTTTTGGGTGGGGTTTTTTCCCCCCTTTCTTTTTTTTAATTTATTTTCTCATCTCTTTTTGTTTTGTTTTATTTTTAGGCTTGGTCTCTGCGTGAGCTGCTGAGGCGGCTCCGGAGCCGCAGGATTGATGGAGAGGCGCTGAAAGGTGGCACAGGGGTGCTCGGGGGTGCCACAGGGGACAGGGGACAGTGGCAGGGGTGCTCTGGTCCTGCTCTGCTCCTGGCAGGGTGGGGTTTGCGCTCTGAGATTTTCCCTCAGTTCAGGAGGAACATTTTGGGGCTGGAGCATATCCAGGGGACTGAACCAGTCTGGGAAAGGGTTTGTGGAATCCTGAGGGAGCTGGGAAGGGTTTGGAGAATCTTGAGGGAGCTGGGAAGGGTTTGTGGAATCCTGAGGGAGCTGGGAAGGGTTTGGAGAATCCTGAGGGAGCTGGGAAGGGGCTCAGCCTGGAGCAAAGGAGGCTCAGGGGGAATTTCTGGCTCTGCACAACTCCTGACAGGAGGGGACAGCCGGGGGGATTTGGGATCTCATCCCAGGGAACAGGGACAGGAGGAGAGGGAACGGCCTCAGGCTGTGCTGGGGAGGCTCAGGTTGGACACCAGCAGGAATTTCCTCATGGGAAGGGTTGGAAGGGGCTGCCAGGGGGGTTTGGAGGTGTCCAGACAATTCCTGGATGTGACACTGGGTGCTCAGCGCAGCAATCAGGCACAGCTTGGCCGATCCTGGAGAACTTTTCCACCCTCATTGATCCCGGAATTCTCTTTTCCAGCATAAACCCCTTCCCGGCGGCCACCATGGAGCTGCCCAGCACCAAGGACTTCCAGTGGAAGTCGCTGGCGCCGTTGCCCAGCCGCAGGGTTTACTCCACGCTGGTGGAGGCGGGCGGGCAAGTCTTCGCCGTGGGCGGCTGTGACGACAACGGCGTCCCCGTGGACTCCTTCGAGGTCTACTCGCCCGAGGCCGACCAGTGGGCATCGCTGCCCGCCATGCCCACGGCCAGGGCCGGCGTGGCCGTGACCGTGCTGGGCAAGAGGATCATGGTGATCGGCGGCGTGGGCGCCGACCAGCTGCCGCTGAAGGTGGTGGAGATGTACAACACGGACGAGGGGCGCTGGAGGAAGCGCAGCTCGCTGCGGGAGGCGGCCATGGGCATCTCGGTGACGGCCAAAGGCGAGTCTTGGGGAAGGGGGAAGTTTGGCACGGAGGTTTCACTGGAAGCTCTCTGAGTGTGGAACCTGAGGAGGAATAGAGATGGAAGCAAGTTTGGATGTAGAGGAATGATAATAGATCTTCCCCGAGGATCCTCCTGATGGGAAGACCCCTAAAAAGTTGTGTCGATGTCTTGGGGTGCTGAAGGTCAGGATGACCCCAAGATTCTGGAGAGTCTTTGCCTCCTTGTCCCGCAGCCAAAGGAGTCTGGAATGCTCCGATTGCGCTTCCAAGGTTGTTTATTTCTCCTTATCTAAACATTCTTTCTCTGACCTGCTGAGCTCTGCCCAGCAAGTCCACCATGCCATTCTGCCCCGAGCCTCGGGCAGCTCCCACCTTATAGACTCAAAACTACATGTCTGTGTTTACAATTTATTATCTATTCCCATCACCCGTGTTAGACTGTGAATCTCTGCCTTAAACCAATAGAAAAGTGTCACCATCACACCAAGACAAGGAGGACAAGAAGGTCAGGACACGCCCAAATCCCTCCATCTTGTACCCCATTGATCCTCATTCTAAAATCCCCAAATTTCTACTTTTCCACCCTGTGTTAACTCAACTACCACACCACTCAAACCCTTGTGGTTTGGAATTCCTTATACAAAACTGACAGTTTTTTCCACGGGCTAAAATCGAAGCCACAGCTGTTTTTTGACTTCTTGCAGAGTCTGCTATAGACGGCGTGCAAAACTTTAGATAAGATAGCAATAAACAAGAAGCTGAAGCCCCAAAATTCTCATGGGTCTCCTTTTCCTGACACAGAGCCGCTCCAGGAGGGTTTCCCCAGCAGGGGAACCCCCAGGGAGGGACCCAACGTGGGGCCAAGAAATGGATAACAACGTGACCAAAACTAAAGGGTGCTCAGGTTTGTCTGCAGCTGGAGCTGACAGCTGCAGGTGTGGCTCTGTCACCCACAGACTGCAGCAAAATCTTCTAGAATCCAATTTATAACAATCTATATAATATGTATATAATATCTATACAATATATAATAATACACATGATATATAATACAATAAACAGCATTTTGAAGAGCCACCTGGAGCCCCGCATTGGGGATTCAGGGATCTGGTTGATAAATTGGTGATTGTGAGTTTGAAGGCCCCAAGTTGGGCAACTCCCAGAGGGCTCCCCTGGCAGGGGAGACCCTCCTGGAGCAGTTCTGTGTCAGGAAAAGGAGATGCACATTGGACTTTTTGGGTCTTCACCTTCTGTTTATTGATATCTTATCAAAACTTCAGCACGCCGTCTGCACCAGACTCTGGGTGCAGGAAAAACAGCACGAAAATGGCTAAAAATCTCCTGTTACAAGGCTTTTTAAGTCTAATCAAAACTAAGCTACCCAATTAAGATATGACACCTAAATTATTTCCCTTTCTACCCCAACAACCGACCCCTAAAGACCCGCAATGTGGATTTTTCTACCCAATTACAAGACACCACCCAAACCCAAGAAGAAAGAGGAAGAAGAGAGAAGAAATGAACTTGAGACAACATTTTATATCCTCCACCTTGAACCCATCTATAGCATCCTAAAAATCCTAAAACCTCAATTTCTCACCCATGTGACATGCTACACTACAATCTCTACAATCTATTTCACACTTTTGTGGTTTCTAGTTTATTTTGAGGGTTTGGAATTTTTCTCCATGAGCGAGGATCAGTCAGTGTTTCCTGGGAGTCGGGACACTCCGGGGCAGACACAGAAATATTCCCGGTGCCCTGGGTTCCCACAGGTGATTAAAGGTTGGGCTTGATGAGCTTGGAGGTTTTTCCTGGCTTTGATTCTGTGCTTGGGCACAAAATCTCTCCGGGCAGCACTCCAGGGTCGCTTTGTTCGCCTCCAAAACTTCTCCTGTGCTTCCAGGAGTTGGGGCTCGTGCGTTTGTCACCTCCCACCCTCCTGAGATGCTCCTCGGGAGGTTGGAAGCACAGACAGAGCCACCACCCCCGCGTTTGTCACCAGCCCTGGCTCTGCTGCTCCCTGGGGGAGTTTTGGACAGCTCTGAGCCCCGCGGGCTCAGATCCAAATTTCTTGTGGGTTTACAGCAAATTCGGGTCCTTGAGTGGATTGTTTTGCAGGGGAGGGGGATTTCTGGTTCTCACCCAAAGCGGTTTTGTGCAATTTTTTTTTTTGCAGGGTGGGATGGATTTCTGGAGCTTTCCTATAATAATTGTATGGGATTTTTGGGATTTTTTTTTTTTTTTTTTGCCCAGATTACAGGGTGTACGCAGCGGGCGGGATGGGCTCGGACCTGCGGCCCCACAATTTCCTGCAGCACTACGACGTGCTCAAGGACATCTGGGTGTCCCTGGCTGCCATGCCCACCCCCCGCTACGCGGCCACGTCCGTCCTGAGGGGCACCAAGATCTACGTGCTGGGTAAGGACCAGCCCTCCTCCTCCGCTCTTCTTTCTCCTTCCTTCTCCTTCCTTCCCCTTCTTCTCCTTCCCTTTCCTTTTCCTTCCCTTTTTCTTTCTTCTCCTTCATTTTCCTTCCTTTTTCTTCATTTCCCTTCCTTTCCCTTCCTTTCCCTTCCTTTTTCTTCCCTCTCTTTCCTTTTTCTTTATTTTTGTTCTTTTTTCTTCCTTCTCCTTCCCTCTCATTAGTTTTTTTTCCCTTTTCCTTCCTTTTGCATCTTTTCCTTCACCTTCTTTTTTCTTCCTTCTCCTCTTTCTCCTCCTCTTCCTCCTTCATGCCTGGCTCTGGGATAACTGGGATCCCCGGCACTGGGATAACTGGGATCCCTGGCTCTGGGATTAATGGGATCCCCAGGACTGAAATAACTGGGATCCAATCACTGGGATTACTGGGATCCAAGCACTGGGATAACTGGGATCTGAGTGCTCAGATAACTGGGATCCCCGGCAATGGGATAACTGGAATCCTTGTCACTGGGATAACTGGGATCCAAGCACTGGAATAACTGGGATCCCTGGCTCTGGGATTAATGGGATCCCCAAGACTGGGATAACTGGGATCACCAGCACTGGGATATCTGGGACCCAGTCACTGGGATAACTGGGATCGCCGGCACTAGGATAACTGGGATCCAATCATTGGGATTACTGGGATCCCAAGGACTGGGATAACTGGGATCCAGTCACTGGGATAACTGGGATCCGAGCACTGGGATAACTGGGATCCCCGGCACTGGGATAACTGGGATCCCCGGCACTGGGATAACTGGGATCCGAGCACTGGGATTCCTGAGCTCTGCCCAGTCTCTGCTCCAGCTCAGCATTCCCAAGGCTGCTCCATCCCTGAGCTGGAATTCTGGAATTCCCTCTCCTTCCAGGGGGAAGGCAATCCAAGTACGCCGTCAACGCCTTCGAGGTTTTCGACACGGACACGCGCTCCTGGACCAAGTTCCCCAACATTCCCAACAAAAGAGCCTTCTCCAGCTTCGTGCCCACCGAGGAGAAGCTCTTCAGCCTCGGGGGGCTGCGCCAGGGCCGGCTCTACCGGCAGCCCAAGTTCATGAGGACCGTGGACGTGTTCGACCTGGAGCAAGGTGGGAGCCCCCGGCCCTTCCCGAGGGGCTTGGGGACACGGGGATGGGTTTGGGGATACGGGGATGGGTTTGGGGACACACAGGGATGGGTTTGGGGACAGGGGGATGGGTTTGGGGACACAGGGATGGATTTGGGGACACACAGGGGTGGGTTTGGGGACACAGGGATGGGTTTGGGGACACGGGGATGGGACTGGGGACACGGGGATAGGTTTGGGGACACGGGGATGGGTTTGGGGACACGGGGATGGGACTGGGGACACAGGGATGGGACTGGGGACATGGGGATGGGACTGGGGACACTGGGATGGGTTTGGGGACACAGGGATGGGACTGGGGACACGGGGATGGGACTGGGGACACAGGGATGGGATTGGGGACACGGGGATGGGACTGGGGACACAGGGATGGGATTGGGGACATGGGGATGGGACTGGGGACACAGGGATGGGATTGGGGACATGGGGATGGGTTTGGGGACAGGGGGATGGGTTTGGGGACACAGGGATGGGACTGGGGACACGGGGATGGGACTGGGGACACGGGGATAGGTTTGGGGACACGGGGATGGGTTTGGGGACACAGGGATGGGACTGGGGACATGGGGATGGGACTGGGGACACAGGGATGGGATTGGGGACACAGGGATGGGACTGGGGACACTGGGATGGGACTGGGGACACTGGGATGGGTTTGGGGACACGGGGATGGGACTGGAGACACTGGGATGGGTTTGGGGACACACAGGGATGGGTTTGGGGACATTTGAGAACACACAGGGCTGGGTCTGGGGGTTGGGGACACATGGGGCTGGGTTTGGGGACACACAGGGCTGGATCTGGGGTCTCAGGGCTGGGTTTGGGGGCACAGAGCTGGGGCTGGGGACATTTGGTGTCACACAGTGCTGTGTCTGGGGTTTTGGTACACACAGGGCTGGTTTTGGGTTTTGGGGACACACAGGGCTGGTTTTGGGTTTTGGGGACACACAGAGCTGGATTTGGGGTTTGGGGACACACAGGGCTGGATTTGGGGTCACAGAGGGATGGGTTTGGGTTTTGGGACACAAAGGGCTGGATTTGGGGTCTCAGGGTTGGGTTTGGGGTCTCAGGGTTGGGTTTGGGGTCTCAGAGCTGGGGATGGGGACATTTGGTGTCACACAAGGCTGGGTTTGGGTTTTGGGGACACACAGGGCTGGGTTTGGGGTTTGGAGCCCACAGGGCTGTTTTTGAGGCTCTGCCATCCTTCCTGCTGCCTTGAGCTCAGCTTAGAGGATGATTTCCAGCCAGGATCACCAAGTGGAACGGGAAAACCTCGATCCCGAGGCAGCTGGATCCAGCACCGAGCTGGGGCCAAACCCGACGCATTCCATGGGGTTTTATCACCCCGAGGTGCAGCAGCCACACTGCCCTTCACGAGCAGGGGCTCCGGGAGGTGGAGGCTGCTCCAGGAGGGGGTGATCCCACAAAACCCAGCGTGTCCTGTCCCTCCAGGTGGGTGGATGAAGATGGAGCGCTCCTGCTACCTGAAGAAAAGGCGAGCAGACTTCGTGGCCGGCTACCTGCGAGGCAGAGTTGTCGTGGCTGGGGGCCTGGGTGAGGCTCTGGGACTCTGGGAACCCTTTAAAAAGGTGTGGGAATTATTGTCATCCCAAAAAAAAGAAAGGGAGAAATCCCAGTGCTGGCTGGTGGGAGGGAAAAACAAACCCCGTAAGGGGATGGGGTACAAAGCAGCCAAGAGAAGCTCGATGCTGCTTCCCAGATCATCCAGCGCCTCCTTTTGTGCTTCCAGGGAATCAGCCGACTGTGCTGGAGTCGGCAGAGGCTTTCCACCCCGAGAAGAACAAGTGGGAGAGCCTCCCCCCCATGCCCACCCCGCGCTGCGCCTGCTCCAGCATCGCCCTGCGGGACTGTCTGCTGGCCGTGGGCGGCGTCAGCCAGGGGCTCAGCACGGCCGTGGAGGCGCTGTGCCTCTCGGATTCCTGACCAATCCCACTGGGAACACATCCCACCGGGAACAGGGCCCTGTGCCTCTCGGATTCCTGACCAATCCCACTGGGAACACATCCCACCTGGAACAGGGTCCTGTGCCTCTCGGATTCCTGACCAATCCCACCGGGAACAGATCCCACCTGGAACAGGGTCCTGTGCCTCTCGGATTCCTGACCAATCCCACCGGGAACAGGGCGCTGTGCCTCTCGGATTCCTGACCAATCCCACCTGGAACAGGGTCCTGTGCCTCTCAGATTCCTGACCAATCCCACCGGGAACACATCCCACCTGGAACAGGGCCCTGTGCCTCTCGGATTCCTGACCAATCCCACCGGGAACAGGGTCCTGTGCCTCTCGGATTCCTGACCAGTCCCACCGGGAACAGATCCCACCTGGAACAGGGCCCTGTGCCTCTCGGATTCCTGACCAATCCCACCGGGAACACATCCCACCGGGAACAGGGCCCTGTGCCTCTCGGATTCCTGACCAATCCCACC